CCTACTAAGGGCAGTCTCCTTTCTCTCTTGTATATTAATTCCTAACAGTAGACACCGATGCACCACTAGTAGGTACAGCTCTTCAGACAATCCCAGATATGCACATCGAGATCCCAAGCTGGGTTGGTACTCCCAGCTTATTATAATTTGCTGTGATAAATATTAAGCTTTAATAATCATCAGTCTATGTATGACACTTTATATTTTAGTTGATCATTTTAGGGTAGAAATCCATAAGTGACATTACTGGATCAAAAGATACAGACATTTTCTTGGCTCAGTGTATACTGACAAGTCGTTTTCCAAAAGAATTGTGCCAGATTATAATACCATCATTAGTATTATTTTAAATGTAATACTAATCTAATTTAATATTAATACTAAATTAATATTAATTATTACAGGCTGGGCTCATGCCTGTAATCCCAGCACTTTGGGAGGCCAAGGCAGGAGGATCTCTTGAGACCAGGAATTCAAGAACAGCCTGGGCAACACAGAGAGACCCCATCTTCACAAAAAATGAAAACAAATTAGCTGGGCATGGTGGCATGTGCCTGTAGTCCCAGCTACTCAGAAGGCTGAGGCAGGAGGATCACTTGAACCCAGGAGTTCGAGGCTGCAGGGAGCTATGATTGCACCACTGCACTACAGCCTGGGAGACAGAGGGAGATCTCTTAAAAAAAAAAAGTATTATATATAAATGTTATAGTAATTATAATTTTGGTAGTAACAAGGTTTTGATTCATTAGGTAAAAGATATACATTTCTTTATTAATGATATTAAATATATTCCCCTTCCTATTTTTAAGTTTTGTATTTCTTATTTTGTAAATTGTGTCTTCTGTCATTTGAGCATTTATCTGTATAACTACAACATGATATTTCACACCGGTGGCTACGGAGAGAATTATGGGAAAGTGTAGAACACTGTTCAAATGCAAAGCATTATCATTTTTTTTTATTTAATATGAAAACAGTTTGTTCAGTGATTCCTGATTGACCCCAGCTTGAGCAAGTACATCTGTTAATGGTGTTCTAGATTTTAAAAGAGAACACAGGAATTTAGTACATTTGGGACTTGCTGCCACTCCTTAGCTACGTCATAAAAGGTCAGTTGCCCTTGCTCACACTGACCTATTCTTTACCCCTCCTTTGTGCCAGAAGAGCAGAAATCTGACACTTTGGGGATACCACCCTCTCCCCTACTGCTCTCTCCAATCTGAGGCAAACTTTCCCCCACTTCTCAGAACCTCTCAGAAGTGGTGCGATCAGCGCTCCTTGGAATCCAGAACCATTTTCAGAACCTTGAACTTCTTTGACCTCTCCAGGTCTCCTTGCGAGAGACTTCTGACTTCTGCTTCTTTGTCTCGGTAGCCAGCACGTGCTTGGCACATCCCAGTGGTCAGTCACCGTTCAACTAAACTGATACTGTCTCCTGGAGAAGTTTCCTCACTGTCCATGTCTACCCCAATATTAATACCCCAGAAGCTCATACTGTCATCTTCCTTAAAGTCTCAAAGCAATCAGCCCCCTTGTCCTCCCTTGTCCCGTCACAGGTCCTCTCTCCCTACCTGCCCTCACCATTTTGGACTGCAACCTTTCTTATTTTCTAACAGATCTATTTTTCACATTTCCTTCCTCTTCTAATAGCTCTCCTCTCACCCTCTCCTCTAGCTCGTCATACTCTGCCTTTAAAACATGCAAACATGTGCCTTATGGAAACAAAGACAACTTTTAATTTACCCTGCTTATTCTTCACAAATGTATAATGACTTCTTTTTATAGCCCAAATCCCAAAACTCTATACCCACCCACTGCATCCAACGCCTCATCATGAAGGTAGTGCTGGAGGACGGGGCAAAGAGAGACTGCACGCCACTCCTACTTCTCACACAAGTGAAGGTGGTGTTCCAGTTATCATTTGCTACCTTAAAGCAGCAGCCATTCTATTATATCTCACAATTTTATGGGTTAGGAACTTGGGCAGAGCTCCGCTGAGTGATTCTTCTGTTCTCCTGACACTGATGGAGATTACTTCGTTGTATGCAGCAGGCAGGTGGGCTTATTATCTAGAGGGTCCAAGACGGCTCTACTGTCAGGTCTAGCGCCTTGGTGGGGAGGGATGAATATGCCTACGTGGGGCTTCTCCTTAGAACAGCCTCAGAGAAGTTTGATTTCTTACTTAGTGGCCCAGGGCTCCAAGAGGAAGTGTTGTAACGAATAAGTCAGAAGCTATGCGGACTTTTATGATCCAGTCTCAGAAGCCACATAGCATCAGTTCTTATTCTATTGGTCAAAGCATTCACAAGCCTGCCTGGATGCAAGGGGAAGGCACATGGGCCCTCACTTTTGATAAGAGCAATGTCATGGCTTTGCAATTATGTTTTAAAAACACTACGGATAGAATCATTGAGAGAGAATCAGGAGTAGGGCTGGGGTGAGGGTTGGGGATTAACCAGTTGATAGCAGAGGTTCACTAGAGTTAGCAAGAAATAAAGCCCCCTCTTATACATTTTAGTCATACTGTAAAATGGGCACGCTCAACCTGCTTAGCCATCAGCCTCACCACTTAATAACTCCACTATAGTTGCACTATCTAAGATCACCAATACTATTAGAGCCAGATTCAATAGGCTTTTCTTTGTCCTCTTGACATTTCTTCTAAACTTGACACTGGTCAAGACCCAACGCTTCTTTAATCATATTCTTAAATGCCAGGCTCTATGACTGGGTGCTACTGTTTCTTGTCGTAAATCTACCTTTGGCAAGGCCATTTGTCCCAGACCATTACCCTGGGTCCCCCTGTGTGATTTGGCCCTTGACCCCTTTTCCTACTCCCCTTGTACTCACTCCCATGTAAAGTGCACCCCTTCATCACATCCATATTACTGACACCCGGATACTTCCCAGCTCTGATTTCTCTCTCTTAGCATGTATGCAGTTTCCTAAGGTAGCTCTCTGTTTAAATATCAACACTACTATCTTCAAATAATTGCAGGACTTTATAAGTTACTTTAATTTCTTACCTCTAAAATTACCTCCCCTTACCAACTGTCTCATACAATCAGTCAGTACCGTCACTGAGCTTGCTACCCATGTTCTTAAACTTAGAGTCATCTTTGAAAAATCTTTGACTGCACATCTAATCATTTATAAAGCTCTGTTGTCTATCAGATTAAATGTGACATTTATGTGAGAGCACTTTACAGTCTGTAAAGCACTACACAGGTGATTACATGAATCTACACTCAGAATAGATTTTCAGGGTTTGCTCCTCACTGGCTTCTACAGCCTCATCTCTTACCAACTTCTTGCCCTACTTCTCTCTTTGCTCCTCATCATCCAATTTCCCAACAGAAATGCACTCCTATACATGCACCTTGCTTTCCCCAACATCTTTGCCTTTCTGCATGCCACCTACTTGCCTCAGTTGCTCTTTGTTTCAACAAGTGTTTGCAAAGGAGAAAGCCTACTGACTCCTCCTTCTCCTATTTAGGCAGAGCCCACCCTAGAGTCAACATGGCCTTCCTCCTGCAAGCCGGGAAAGCCTGACCTCCCTCCAAAGCTCCTTAGGACTGGCTTCTTGCACAGTACACACAGTCTTTGCTTATAGAGGATTTGAAAATTATTCCTTAGGAGCTTCATGTCTTATTTCCTCCGCTCCTGGAGGAGGTGACTCTGGCTCCCACTGATTTTTTATTTGGGCTTAGTTCAGTGTTGGTACCAGCACCCCAAGATGGTTGAATAGGGATTCTGGTACTATCCAAAGGATCTTTGGCTTATTTGAGAGATTCTGGCAGCAGAGGCTTGACCTTTTCCCTTCTCCGCTTTCTTTCTCCTGTTTCCTATGATTTCCCATAACATTTCAAAAAGGTATTTTTTAAAAAAGTTTTCAAAAGAATGAACACTCAAATATTTGCACAAAGAAGTAGGAAAATCTCCTCCTCCCACAACAAACATATGTTAACAATGTTTAATTTATCGGTATAGGTTAGCAGTAGGATAGTTGGGTTATCCGTGGGTAGCTGGGATAGCTCTGGAACCACATTTTGCAGTGTGAAAAGGAAAACTGGAATAAAGGCGACTTTCCCAGGGTCACAGAGCGGAACCAGCCTAGCGACCTGCCCTGTCCTTTCCACTGCATCCCCTAAGAAATGTAATTGAAAGGACTAAGTGTAATTAAAAGGAGCAAAAGGAGATACCTTTTGTACAGTGCTTTAGCAATTTACTTTTGATATTTTCTTCTATACGTCAATGGTTTCATTTGACATCTTCCTTCAAAAAGTGATTCAACAAAACACTTCATTTCTTTTAAAAGTTCAGAGTGTTCCTAATTTTTTCCAGGTCTGAATTTGGTGGTTGGAAAGGAATTGGGAGGACGAGAAGTTAAAAGGAGAGGAAAGGGAAGCAGAGAAAGTTGCAAGGTGCCTGCAGGGCGCTTGGGAGTGGGGGGAGTGGGAGAGCGCCCCATTGCAGCTTTTTCCAGGATCACAGTGCGGCGATCGCGCTTGTTTCCCGGGGCCCCCACCTGTTCCCCGCCCCAGCCGAGGGTGAGCAGGCAAGGGTGACGGAGGTGCCTCACGTGCGGGGGCGCGGGTGACGACGCCGCGGTGCGCCCCTCCCCCTGGGGCGCCGCGCGCGGGGCGCAGAGAGCACGTGCTGGGCGAGGGCTCTCTCGGGGTGCAGGGCAGCTCCCCAGGCGCTGGGCGAGGATGGCGTGGGAGGGACCTGGCGCTCCAGGACACGCCTTTGCCAGGTCCCACGACCCGTGTTGTGTTCTGAGACCTCGCGTGGCTCCTCCCGGAGCGGCCGGCTACATAAGTCTCTGGGGCCCAACGGGTCCTCAGACACCCAGGAGAGAGGAGGCGACGCTGGGGGACTCAGCCCTATTCCCGCGCTCCCCCTGCGGCCGCCGCCTGGAGACCTCCGCCGCCCTCGCTGCAGTCCCAGAGGTCGGAGAGAGGCGGGTTTGCTGCTCGGCGGGACAGGCGTGAAGAGGGAGGGACAGGAACGTCCCCCTCGGGGCTGGAGCCTGCTCCCTCTGCACCGGCGCCTCGCCGGGCTCTCCAGTGAGGATGGTGGGCCCCACAGCCTCCGACGGGCACCCGACCGTGGGAGTGAAGATCTTCTCGGCGGGGGTGGCGGCCTGCGTGGCGGATGTGATCACCTTCCCGCTGGACACAGCCAAAGTCCGGCTACAGGTAGTGAGCCCGGTGGGGGTGACGACGGGCCTCAGGGCAGAGAGGGGACATCTGTTGTGTGTTCCTTCGAATCTCTGCTTTGGTTTAAACACCAGTTCTCAGTTAGGTAGGGCAGGTGATCACCTTAAAAAACAGTGTGGCCTTAGCCCAGGGCTGGTGCTTTCGAATGGGAAAATGGAACTTTTTCCGGGATTAGCTGAAGCACCAGAAGGGCCGTGGATGATGGGTTGACCATGACTACTGCGGAATCCTCCCCAAAGGTAGGGTGCTCTAAGTGTTCTAGGAGCTAAGAATATCAACCTCTCCTGAGTTTACAAATCACGTGCTTTTCCCTTTCTTCTTTCATTCTGCGGGGGCACCGTCCCATCCTACTGCCTTAGGGGTTCTGGAGAGGAAAGAGGGGCTGTTCAAATGTGCATTGCAGCCAGCCAGCCCCCTTTACATAGAAACATGTACATATAATACATATATGTATTGAAACACGGGAAATGGGGAAGATGCTGCTGAGAAGGGAAACTGAGAACAGGAACACAGTGGAAAAATCTTGGCTTAAGATTTCTCCATAAGGGACAGCCCGGTGCCAGGCTTGTTTTTTCCTCACCAGAGAGGCCCCCACTACTCAAGTTTCCCTTCCCTCTGACCTGCACCTTTCTCATTTCCAGGTCCAAGGCGAAGGCCAGACCTCCAGTGCCATTAGGTATAAGGGCGTCTTGGGAACGATCACCACTCTGGCAAAAACGGAAGGGCCAATGAAACTCTACAGTGGGCTGCCTGCCGGCCTTCAGAGACAGATCAGCTTCGCCTCTCTGAGGATTGGCCTCTATGATACCGTCCGGGAGTTCTTCTCCACAGGCAAGGAAAGTAAGCAATGAGTGTTTCTGAGAAGGGCAGAAAAGCCCTGAGCTCGGCTCTGTCCAAAAAATGTAACACACAGGGCAGTGGTCTTTATAACAAATTGGCAAAGAAAAGAAAAAAAAAAAAAAACAATATGTGAACTCTCCCCCTTCCCCAAATATTAGCTCCTTGCTCATACATAAGAAGAAAAAATGAGCAAAATCACTTCTTTAGATGAAGGTTTATACTTATAAAATCCCCCAGTCAGTCATGGAAGTTTTGAGCCTCATTTGGGTCTCCATCTGGAGAATGGGGATGGGCTACAGAATCATGTTTAAGTCAAAGTTCCCCAAACGGCAAAGTATATCAGAAACATCTATAGAGATTGTCGAAAGTCCAAATGAGGATTACCACGGTCCACTGAATCTGAATCCTCACGTCGGGGACAAGAGAATCTGTGATTTCACAAGCTCCCCTGATAATTTTGATATGCAACAAACTTTAAAACCCTTTAATTTGAAGAAAAGAAAGCCAGACTTTGTGCAGAGAGTTGAAAGGACAGGAAAAGACTTATTTTGAGAGGTTCCTCGTAAGGTCTCTGATGCTGGGAAAGACCGGACAAGAACAAGTGGATTTAAGCTGTAGTGAGTTTGTTTAGGGGAAGAAGAAAAGATAACTAATATTCCCTGAGTGCCAGTGTACTCTGAGCATCCCTGTCGGTTTAGCTAGCATTTCTTCGAGCACGTACTATGTCCCAGGCACTGTTCTAAGTGCTTCAGATACCTCATAACTGGAAAGGTATGAGTATTATTATCCTGCGTCAAATGGGGAAACTGAGCACAGAGCAGTTGCGTAACTTGCCCAAGGTCATATAGCTATTTAGGGGCAGAGCCAGAGTTCAAACCCAGGCAGTCTGGTCTTTGACTCCAGGTTCCCAACCCTGGTACTCTACTGTCCCCTCCATTTGGCATGAGATTCTGTACATCATTCAAACCACACAACAATGCCGTGAGTAGAAAGTGTTAGCTGAATATCAAAGAAGTTAAGTGACATGCACAAAATCACACAGCTGGTAAATATCGGAGGCACTTTCATGTGGAGCAGATGAGCCAGAGAGATGTGCTGATGGTAAAATGATCATGTTAAGTGACTACCACGGTAGATTCCATCACTTCTGCTGTGAGTAACCTTTGAATGCTATAACTTTATGGGATAATTTGTAAATATCGTTTATATAAACATATAAGTTAAACTTACCCACACAAGTACTTTGAAAGTGAAGATAAAGTCTGGATGTTTCTAGATCAATAGTGCATTGTCATATTTATAGATGTAGCAAGAGAAGAAACACAAAGGATGTAAAGCCGCCCATACAGGTGGTTTTCCTCACAGACTGACTGCTCTAACGGTTGCTGGGAAGCTTAGGCAGTATTCTATGTTATGCCTATGCAGTTCAGTTAGTAAGCGTGATTGAACTGCCAAGTTCCGGTAACTGTGCTAGATGCATAGATGACAGATGTGTCTATAGGCAGAGCTTACTATTAAGAGTACGGGGTGTGTGGGCAGAAGAAGTTAATAGACACTCTCTGTGTTTTAAGTACAGTCATGCTTTGCTTAATGATGGGGATGCATTCTGAGAAATGTGTTGCTAGGCGAATTAGTCATTGTGTGGACATCATAGAATGCACTTAGATAAACCTAGATGGTACAGCTTACTATGCATCCAGGCTATGCACTATAGCCTATTGCTCCTAGGCTACAAAGCTAGGAGCAAATAACACACTATATAGTGTGTTATTGGACCGAATACTGTAGGCAGCTGGGACACAATGGTAATTATTTGTGTATCTAAACAGAAAAAATAATGCATTGTGCTACGTCATTATGTTGGCTAGGATGTCATTAGGCGATAGGAAAAAGAAAGGCAGTAAGGAGCCAGATCACAGAAGGCCTGGTAGGCAATGCTAAGGAGTTTGGATTTTATCCTTGCAGCAGTGGGAAGTCATTGTAAAACTGTTCAGCAGGGGAGTGGCATAAACAATTTATATTCTCAAAAGATCACTTTGACAGCACTATAGAGTATATATAGAAAGAGGATAGGCATGTTTAATGATAGGAACAAGGGGTAAGTTACAAAGTGAGAAATGATCAGCG